CACACACCACACACACACCACACACACACACACACCACACCCACAACACACACCCACACACCACACCACCACCAGCAGCAGCAGCTCAGGGAGGTGTCATTGTGGGATTCTGCTTGCCTCCCCTCCAGCCATCCTTCACACCAGGACCTGGCACCGGGCCTGGCTGGGCTCAGTGAGATGGCCACTGACTGTAGATGGGGGCCCAATGAGGTGCCTTCCCACTGGCCCCGGGGAAAGGTCACCTAGCCAGGCTGCTGGCAGAGAGCAGATATCAAAGGCTGCCAAAGCAGAGGAATTTCCCAGGCTGCTGCTTAATTCCCAAGTCATACACCCCAGTGAGCAGCTGGCGAGGGGCCCACCCAGGGGCAGGTGACCCTAGCCACTGGGGAAGGCCTCTTTTGTTCTTTCTCACCGTGGCCAGGAGGCCAGATTTTGGAGACATTAAATGAATGTGGTGGGAGAGCTGTGTGCAGTATTATACCTGGCTGGACTGTGTTACAGTGCCCCTCCACCATCACCAAGGGGTAGGGAGTCAATGCCCCTGGCAAGCCACCAGGGGGAAGGTGGCCTCTGAAACCACTGCCCAACTGCCCCAGACTCTAACCTAAGGACCTGGGACATACACACAGCCTCTTAACACAGGGGACCCCGGACCACCCAGCCCTGGTTTCTAATCCAGCGCCTGGCATGTGGGCTGTTTGTACGATGAAGTTGGTACCTGATGTACAACAGAAACCCTGCCAGTCCTGCGCCATCCCACACAGTTCTTCCATTTGGACTCGTAGCCTCGGGGTCAGCCCAGCTCGTGGAGGGCCTTCCTCCTCACTGTGCCGCGCATGACGTCCTCCAGGGACGGGTCAAAGTACGTGAGACGGGGAGGCATGAGCGAGTGGGTGGGATGATGGCCTCAAAGCCATGTCCTCCTGTGAGTGTGACCTTGTTTAGGGAAAGGTGTTTTGCAGGTGTAGTTAAGTTAGGGGTCTCGTGATAAAATCGCCCTAGATCAGTGGTTCTCAACCTGAGGTCGCGACCCCACGACCCTTTCACAGGAGTCTTGTAAGGCGATATTTTCGGTGGTCTTAGGAACTGAGACACGCTTCTCTATCCATCTCCAGGCAGGTCCGCCCACATGCAGACACGCCCACATACATGCGGGGTCACCACATGAGGAACTATATTAAAGGGTCGAGGCATTGGGAAGGTTGAGAACCACTGCCCTTGATCATCTGAGTGGGCTCTCCGTTGCACAAGGGCCTTATCAGGAGAGGAGGGCACACGGAGAAGGCTCCCGAAGACAGGCAGAGATTGAAGGGCTGCGACCACAGGACAGGTAAGGAAGACCACTCTGCAGAACCTCTGAGGGAGCAAGTCCAGAGGCTTATCTATGTAGGAGACTCACTCTGGCGATAAGGCCCCACTTTGTTCCACAGCCATGGGAGGTGAGCGCGTGGTAGACCAGCACCCTTTTCCCTCCCTGAAGTTTATGGCCCCCAAACTTCCACCCAGCACTCACACTCATCTCTCCTCTCAGAGTTTGTCAGGGATGGGGTGTGGGTAGAGAGCAAAACCAGCAGGCTTTGCGATGAGGCCCTGTCCCTCGCCAGCTGTGACATCACAGCTGTCAGACCCTCCAGAGTCCCGTTTTCTGTGGGGATGATGGTGGGCCCCATGTTGGCGGGTGGGCTTGGGGCAGGCCCTGCTCACAGGAACTTCCAGGAGAGCTGGTGGGGAACCCATGGAGTCTACCCCTGCGGTCACAGGACGAGGGGCTGAGACCAGGGAAGCCACCGCAAGTAGAAGGCCTTCAGAGCTGGAGGCGTAGTGGTTACAGAAGAGGCTGCTCGTGGCAGGGTCAGCAGTTCAAAACCACCCGCTGCTCCGAGGAGGGAGGTGAGGTTTTCTATGCCCGTAAAGAGTCAGTCTCGTACACCCACAGGGACAGTTCTCCCTTGTCCCCAAGGGCTGCCGTGAGTCAGAGAGGACCCGATGGCACGAGTTTGATTTGTTGTTTCAATAGTTCAGGCGCATGAGCTCCAGCAGCATCGTGGGTATGTGTTGGGCTGGTAGCCAACCATAAGGTCAGTGGTTCAAATCCTCCTGCCACTCCACAGGATAAAGATGAGGCAGGTTTTGTGCTCCAGCAAAGAGTGACAGTCTGAGAGACCCACTGGGTCAGTTCTACCCTGTCGGCACCAACAACTCCATGGCAGGGAGTTTGGAGTTTGGGTTTTGTGGCCTCAGATTGGGGCTGGTGAGGGCTCTGAGGTCCAGCTGTGAGTGGTCGGCCCCGGAGTGTCTCCTCATACAGTGTCAGCCTCCCAGGAACCCCCAGGCCCTACCTGGGCTGCAGGGGCACAGGTGCACCTGACCAAGCCCCGACCCTGTCCCAGTGATCGGAGGAGCACTGGTAGGAGCTGGTGTCCTGGTGGCACGGTGGGTAAGTACTCACTGGCTACCTGGAAGGTGTGTGGACTGAACCCACCAGCTGCTCCTTGAGGGAAAGATGGGGCAGCAGGCCGGCTTCCATAGAGATGACAGCCTTGGGAGCCCGGGAAGTTGGGTGGTTCTCCCTGATCCTGCCGGGTGGTCGTGCATCAGAAGGGGCCCACCGGCCTGGGGTTGGTTGGCGCTGGGAGGAAGAGGGAGGTAGGAGCCCTGGGGAGGCACTTTGGGAATGCTTACATATGGGCGCCCACCCACCCCCACCCCACCCTCAGATGAGGAAGCTGAGGCTTACCTTGTGACCAATGACCACCCGTGGAGGTGGGTGCCTGCCCCTTTGATCTCTCCCAGCCACAGCCCCCCCTAAGGGAGATGAGGGGAGGGGAGCTTCAGAAAGCCCCTCCCTGGGGAGGGACCTGCCAGTGGCCCCCAGAGGGCCTCCTAATCCCCAGCAGCCCCTTCATAACTGGAGTCTCAGAGCAGCCAGGTCTGGGGTCAGATGGCCCTGCCTCCACACGTTGGAGTGGGAGCCCCCTGCACGCTGCTGAGGCCCCTTAATTAACGACTCCTTAACTCCCTGGCCGAGCCGGACACCCACCTCCCACACAACCCTGCAAGCCCGAGAGGCAGCTGACCTGCTGGGAGGGAGCCTGACGCGTCCCCCATGCCCACGGCCATCTCTCTCGCCTCAAAGTCAGCGTCTGGTGGTGAGGACAATCGGGGCGGGGTGGGGTGGGGTGGGGGGGCAGGTGTTGGGACTCCATGGGTCGGCGTGGAGTGGAGTGGGGTTGAGCCGAGTGAGGATAGCAGGGTACAGAGGGGTGGGGACGGGGGAGGGCATGGGGGCTATGCACTGGGAAGAGGCCAGGCTTCAGCAGAGGTGGCCCTGCAGGGAGTTGTGTGCCTGGAAACTTGTCTGCCTCCTCCCCTCCCTGTGTCTGCAGCCATGGAGGAGTGGCCCCCGGAGAGTGGGGGCCGCGTGGGGAAAGAAGCCCCGGTCGCCACCAGCCCCGGCCCCACCAGCCCCGGCCTGACATCGCTGGGCGCCATCTTCATCCTGATGAAGTCCGCTCTGGGGGCCGGCTTGCTCAACTTCCCCTGGGCCTTCCAGCAGGCCGGAGGGCTGGGCCCCGCCTTCCTGGTAGAGCTGGTGAGCCGGGTCTCTGGGGGCCCGGTGGGCCCTTGCATTGCCTCCGCAGGGCCCTGCCTTAGACACCCTACATCAGGGAGGACTCCCCCTCTGCTCAGGAGGGCAGCCTGGCCGCTGGAGCCCTGGGCAGAGAGGGTGGCAGGGACTGATGGTTCCATACGAAACTCACTGCCCTCAAGTCAGTTCTTGTGGCCGCCCTACAGGACGGGGTACAACTGCCCCTGTGGGCTTCCGAGACGGTCACTCTTTATGGGAACAGACAGCCCCATACAGGACCCTCAAAACCCGTGTGCAGCCGAGCACACTCTGGATGAACCTCTCCACAGGCACGTGGGAGCACACAGGCACACAGCACACATGCCCAGCATGCACACGTGCAGATACATAGTGCATGTACACACATGTGCCTAGCACCTACCATGCACACACACTACACACTCATATATTGCAGCTATTAGAATGTGTGCATAGCACACATGCTCAGCATACATGTGCACAGACACAGATACACATAGGCTCACATATACACACTCATAGACACACACGTGCACACTTTTTTCACGGCTGCCTGTGTGGGCTGGGTCTCTTGTGGTAGCCCAGAGCCACCGCCAGCCCAGTGTCCTTTATCTGGGTTGGTCTCAAGTGCAAGGTGCTCACTTGGGGACAAGAGGCGCCCTGTCTATGCCAGCCTGCCAGCTTCTGAGTCTCCACCTCACCTCTTGTCAGCCCCTCTAGACGGCACTCCTCGGCCCTGCCTGTCCATCACCTTCTCCCGTGTCTGGGTGTCCTCGCCGGCTCCCATGCAGACTCGGCCGGGGCTGGAGCTGCTCCGCTCTTCCCCAGGTCCTGAGCCACAAAGAAATCAAGGCTACAGCTTGGATCGGGGGAGGGCACAGTGTGCACCCCAGGTGGGCGCAGACGTGGCTAGCCTGGGGTGCCCTGTCGGAGCCAGGTTCTGGGCTGTAGGAGACCTAGGTCCCAGGTAGAGGTGAGGAGGCCGCCCTGGGCGGGATCAAGGTCTAGAGGCCAGAATGATCAGAGTCCCACGGCAGTTGCTCCCACTCAGCTTCTGGAGTAACAGAGTCAAGCTGCTTGTCTAGTAGCTGAGTGGTGTCCCCTGTGGGTGAGGAGGCTGCTCTTCTGGCCCAGGACCACCATCCTCCACAGAAACGGTGGGCAAGGGGCCAGGAGCCTGCCCCTCGAGACCAGGTCCAGCCGTATCCTGTCTTGCCTTGGGCCAACGGGTTCCAGGGCCAAACGGCACAGCCTCCCGGGACCACGCTTCTGCAGGCCCATTGATGAGATAGCGCCTGTCCACATGCAGACCTCGCTGTGGAGAAGGGAAGGGGCCCGTGTGCTCAAAGAGACCTGCTCTGGGATGCCCGCTCATTCCTCAGCGCCTGAGATGCCACACCACCCAGATGGCCACCCTGGAGCGTGCCGGGCGACAGAACAGGAATAGGCAGGAGAGGGCCCTGGCCGCCAGCAATAAGCTAACCCGTGTGAATGAGGAGCCTCAGAGATGTGGTGCGGTGCACCAGGGGCCACAGAGAGGGCTGCTGGAGTGAGCTGCCCGAGCGAGCGAGCAAGCGAGAGCTGGCTGGGGGCGGTGGCACCTGGGAGGAGACCTGGGGAAGTTCACGGGGCCAGGAGGCCACAGTTGTCCCCTCTCAGGTGGCACTTGCTCATCTGTTGCCGTTGCTCCAATGACAGCCAGCTGCTGCCGAGGAGTTGATTCTGAGACATGCCCCACCACCACCACCCATGTACATCAGGCTGTGCTCCAGGGGGTTCAGAACCGATGGCCAGGCCTTGCTCCCTCTGCACCTCCAGGTAGACTAAACCTTCCAGCCCTTTGGCCCGACCTCGCTTCAGGTGATCTGCTGGAGACACGTGCTATGCGACCTCGCAGGAGAGAAGGGGATCCCAGACAGACGTCACACCCTAAGGAATGTCCCCCGCACCAGGGCATGGGTGGGGAAGGGTCCCAGTGTCTGCTTGTGGTACTGAAATGCTTCCAGAGTGGATGTGGCCGAGAGGGATGGACAGGTGGGGAGGAAACGCATAGGGGGTTGTCCCCCATGAGATCGAGAACCGCTCCTGTGTCTTTAAGCCGAGAAGTGGCGTTTGTAGGTGAGTGGGAACAGGTGCGCACAGTTCTTATTTAGCCTCTCTTTCCTGCAAGAAAGCAGCCCAGGTGGCTAGTGGTTAGGCACTGGGTAGTTCGAAACCACTAGCTGCTCCCAGGGAGACAAATGGGGCTTTGTATTCCAGTAAAAAGCTGTTGTATCAGAATCCCACAGGATCATCTCCACCCTGTCCCATAGGGTCACTGTGAATCAGAATGGACCGCAGTGAGTTGGGTTTGGCTGGGTGGGCTACACCCGGGTCTGCCAACCAGAAGGTCAGTAGTTTGAACCTGCCAGCCCCTCAGAGGGAGAAAGACGAGGTTGTCTCTCCTGTTAAGACTGACCGTCTCAGAAAACCACAGGGGCGATTCTCCTCTGTCTGGCAGGAGCAGCCAGAGTCAAAACCAACTGGCCAGCATTGGGTTTGGGTTTCTGCAGGCAAAGGTTCCAATGATGTAACCGCACATGTGCGGAGGTGAAGGCAATGAGGAGGAGACTCCGTAGGGAGCTGTGGCTGCTTCCCTGGGTTCAAAGCGGGGACCCCAGTCCATGAACAGGCACAAGGGAGCGGTCGGAAGCCAGAGGTTCCCAGCCCAGGGACAGTTGCTACCGGAACCTGTCTGTGGCCTAAGCTAGGTGATAGGTACATGGCTCCTTAGTGGAAAACTCTTTCATCTTTCCTCTGGGACCGAAGAGTTTCCTAATGAGCTATATGCAAATAGCTGGGCAGAGGGACAGGGGTGTGGGGAAGGACAAACAGCCGGCGCCTTTTCTGGAGCTGTCGTCACCTGGTGTCACGTGTTACTAGTGCTGCGTGTCGCCCAAAGGCCTCTCTGCACAGCCGGGGTGGAGACACAGATGCTGGACGTGCTGAGCCCAGGTGTGTCCTCTCGGGCTAACCATCAGGCCGCCCCGCCCACACATATGCGCTTAACTCTGGTCACGTTAGGCAGAATGGTTTGAAGCTCCAGGGCACGGCCTCACAGCCTCAGAGGGCTGCTCTGGGGGCAGCGGCTCGGCTGGTGGGCAGTCTCAGCCTCTGCAAGCCCCTGGACTTCCCTGGAGTGGCCGACCGTGTCCCCGTGCAGGTCTCCTTGCTCTTCCTGCTCAGCGGGCTGCTGGTCCTGGGCTATGCGGCTTCCGTGAGCGGACAGCCCAGTTACCAGGCTGCGGTCCATCGGCTGTGCGGCCCCGGCGTCGGGAAGCTGTGTGAGGCCTGCTTCATCGTCAACCTGCTCATGATCTCGGTGGCCTTTCTCAAGGTGATCGGGGACCAGCTGGAGAAATGTGAGTACCCCGGCCTGGCGTCCGTCCACACTGGCAGAGGAAGGTGGGGGGAGACTGGGCCTCCCCACAGAGCCGGAACAAGACCGCCCGCCATGTTACTGCCGGTCATTGTGCTCCGTTAGCAGCTCTCAGCCCGGGTGGCACAGTGAGCTAGCTATGCCTTGAGGGGCCAACCATCAAGGTCGTTGGTTCAAACCTCCCAGCTGCTTCGAGGGAGAAAGAGGAGGCTGTGGGCTCCCATCGAGCGGTTCAGTCTCGGAAACCCACAGGGGCAGTTCTGCTCCATCCTGTCGGGTCTCCATTTAGAGTTAGGCACCTCAACAGTGGGCAGCTGGGTGTAGTTTGCCGGCTTTCCCACACTTATGTGCGCCATGACCCGTTAGATGCCACACATTCCCAGTACCACCTGCCCCCCCTCGAGGTGACTGAGCGACTCCTGGCCTGGAGTTGCCAAGTGCAAGCAGGCTGTGCTGGCCTTTCAGAGGAGACTCCGTGTTCCGGGAACTTCCTGTGGGCCGCTGGCTGCAAGCTCACTGCCATGGGTGAATCGGAGGCGCATGGCAGTGGGGCAGCTTGGGGGGGGCGGGTAAGGAAAAAGTACTGCTCCTAAGCGTACCCATTCACCCACACATGGGCTTGTTACCAGCACGGCCCACCAGGTCCCAGCGCACTGCTGTGGTCAATGGGTGGGCACCCACAGTGCCCTCCATCCTACACTGGTCTGTGTCTCATTAGGGCCCTTCCAAAACAAAAGTCCCATCCAAACAGCGGCTTCTCGGGGCATCTGCTGGGCCAACTCTACTCAGGAGGTGATGAGGGCAGTGGTGGTGGGGTCCCAAGGGGTTCTCTTGATTGATTTTCTCAAAGGACGCAGGGTGATCACGAGGGTGTATTAGGACAAGGTGTGTGTATATGTTTATTCGTTTGCTTGAAGTAAGCTTGTTCGCCCCTAAAGACTCCAAGTCCCCCTCAATTTCACTTTTCCTCCTTTTTCTGGCCACTCAGACTTTGGTTTACATCTGAGGGGAAGGAATCTGGGGGTGTGGAGGATGTACGGCTGTGAGCTTTCACTCTTTGGGGCTTTTAAAAGTTTTTTTTTTTTTTAAAGAAATCTAGTCTTACATAGTTGCACAGCCTCACTTAACAAATGAAACCAGTAATAATACCCCAGTACACCCTGCCTCCCGGTA